AGGTTACAGATATCTTATCCCAACCAATTGCGAGAGACAGTTAATCATAACACAGGGAGGATTTTCAAATTTTCTGTCGACATTGGGATTTGAACTCTGGACCTGCCACTTGGGGGTTGACAACCTGACCACTTCACTAGGTCGCCACACCCCTAGTTAAACGCTTTATATTGCTTGGCTTATTTAATAAATATATATAATATTATATTAGTATAACACTTTCGGTTTAACAATTTATAAATCTAAGATTCAGCTTAGCTATTTAAATGTAGTAGAAACTCAATAAACTCTGCTACTTACTGAACGTTTACCTTTATTTTTATGAAAACTCTTTGGGAAAGCGATTGAAAACGATTAGAAAAGATCTTTCACTAAAGACACCCAAAACGAAGAAATTTTACTAATTAACATGGATACCTTAAGTTTAACTTATTATGGGTAAATGGATCATGTTTTTTAAACTACAATCATATATCAAATTTTTAATTGGCTATATAAATAGTTCATGTAACAACATTTTTAGAATTTATTGAAAAGCGATAGCACAAACTATATGTAGCTTATTAATTTTCAAACTCTATTGTAGCTTATTATAAAATAGTCAGTAATGTAAGCAAGATCCTGCTTATAACATTTTTTGACATCTATTTTACTTGAACTAAAACTAATACCTAGTTCGAAGTTACAAGTGTTATTCATTAGATCTACTCTACTCTATCTTCTAACTTATTAACAATATCAGAAATATATCTGACAAAGATTAATTTATTGATTTCATTTTCAGCTGGCCAAATTTTAAAGATTTTTTTTTTTGTTTTAAAACCTAGAAATATGTTTATTTATAATACTAAATAATAAAGCATTAAGCATATTTTATACTTTAAGTATATAAGATCCATTTTTTTTACTTTTTTTTATCTATTTTATTGGTAATCCAGCTTTTTACACAAAGACAAGCTCTTGCAGTTTTAGGATGAAGCTGATTTCTAGTCTTAGTGATTGTATTACCTGTTATAGAAAAGGCTTGCTTACAAGCAATGCTTGTTGCTTGTATAGAAAGATAATCACAAGCAATTATTGAAAGAATTGGATAATCTTTTTGATGAATTTTTTACCAGTATAATGGTTCAGTATTTTCATCTGGCAAAGACTAAAAGTAATTATCCAGTTTGCTATTAGATAGTAATTGATTCTGGATATTAGTACTTTCACGAATAATAGGTAGTTAATAATCTTGAGAACCCAATTGCCAAAAAAATTGTCGAGTAGTATATAGTTCAGGTTCATCACTATTCATATTGTTACATGGTACAGATGGTTTAAGTTGAGACTTATAGAGATTGAAAGCTTGATGAGTTAAATTAATAGCATTTTCTTGTTTTGTAATATCATTAAAAATTTTAAGTCTAGTACGTGGATTAAGAACCACTGATATTATCGAAGAGCTATCCATTATTTCCCAATATTTAACTAATTTTTTATTCATAGAAGTAGCTACATTATTTTGAGAAAATCTTTCTTTTTTAATATATACATCTAGATGCTGTTGAAAACTCATGAAAACAAACTGGATGTTACTGTGAGTTGGGTAAGATGCAGCTGATAAATGTTTTGTAGCTTTTTCTAATGGTTCTAACAAGATCATAAGGTCCTATATTTAATATGATTTTAGTTTTATAGTTCAAACTTAATACTGTAGCAATAATGATTAAGCTAAAAATAGCTGAAGCAAGAAATTATTAAAATTAATCTTGAATTATAATCAAAGAATGATTCCAAAAAGCTACAGAAATTTCTAGCTTC